AGTGGTTCAGTGCAGGCTTCTCCCTGAAGTGCAGTTTGCATGAGAGGCCCCTGTGTGGAAATGGCTGATAGGCTCTGTTTTTTAAATTTGAGCCTAGTTAGCCACCAGGAGCCCTTCTTAGTAGGCATTTTCTTTCTAAGGATCCACATGCTGAATCGCACTCTCTTGTTTTTTTCTCGCTCTCTCCACCTCCAACGCCATTCCTTTCTGCATGTGTACCTGGCTCTTCTTTCTCTGCAGATTGGCTTTCTCCATCTCTCTGTGGCATTAGGCCCAATGTAGCATAACTGCCCCCTTTCTCCACATGTTCCTGCCCCACAGAGGCTGATCTGCATTCTTTCTCAGTCAGTGCCAGGGGACAGAGTGATGGAGTCATCTTTGGTCAAGTGTCTCTCCCCGACCCAGTACGTCATGGTTGGAGGGAGGTCTCACTGTGCAACTACAGCTGCAGAGGCCAAATCATGGGGGTGAAAGGCAGGTCTGAGAATAGGGATAAAGTGATCAGGACAGACATCCAAAAGATGACCACTGCAGAGAATGTTTGTGAAGTATTTCCTGGAGAGAACTGGCCATCTCCTAAATCTAATCTGGGGACTGGAGTGCCTCAGACTAATCCAAATGTCAGCATTAGGTTTGCCAAATTAGCATCTCTTAAATACAGGTACACAAGAGTCATTGCTTTATTTACGATAAAACGGTGGTGAGCACAATGTCTACTATATCATTTGATATTCCTATGTAATGCTTTTAGACTTTTGTTCCATAATAGTTATTTTTCTAAGGAATAACAGGCATCTTTTTGAATGAGAGCTTTGAAACTTGTCAGGGTGCTCTTTTGCAGGGCCTCAAGGAAGCCCCCATTAACTGTGCAGTTAGCAGGCATAGCTAAATTGAGCTGGAACTTTTAGGCAACACTATATATATAATAAGCAATCAGAAGAGAGATGGCCAAAGGATAATATGTATCTATCTGATGAGGAATCTGGTGAGTTTGAGATTCCCATGGTGTCCAGGCGGTTAGCAACAGTGATCTGGGTAGGCTTAAGATAGTAAGTGAAAATTGTTTGTATTGAGTTCAACCATAACTTAGCTGCCTAGCTAAAACACTAGGCTGACCAAATGAAACAGCTAAGTATAGTAGAGACTGCCAGTTTTTAGGCTTTGGGGTCTCACCTTAGCTGGTCTTAAGGTCCTCAGTTTGGGATTCCTACATGGTATGGTTCCTGCCTGAACCCAGATTGCCCACCCCAGTGGGACAGGGCCTTCCCTTCCCACTTGGTTGTGCCAAGGCCCATTCAGACTTCCTGTCCAGAAATAAGTGACTTCTCTTTCCTGCCTAAGGCCTGCCTTCTATGTTACTTGTTTCTTGATGATGCCCCACCTTTTTCAAGGATGTCAGTACTGGGAATGTCTGTCCCTTGCAGGGGACACCTTGACCCTGACCCACAGGAATAAACCCAGCTATGTCATCTGTAAGATAGTCCTGTCCAAATGCAGCAATGGAGCCCAGCATCAGGGCAAGGATGCACACTGTATTTTCGGTTAGGGGTGCTCACAGGTTACAATGGGTTATGCATTGAAAATTGAAAGGAGGTGCTCCTGAGAGCAGATGCAAGTGTTTTCAGTGAAGTTTATTCCAGATTACAATTGACGTGGGAGAATTTTTATTTTGCTACAGTGTCTTATAAATCTGGTTGCTGGGAATCAAGACCCCCTGTGTCAAGTCTCCCTGGGACAGCTCATTGAATTCAAAACTAAGGAGACTGTCTCCCAAACCCCACAATTCCTCTGCCATTCTCTGGCATCTACTTCCCACAGTCATTTCTAATTCTAAACCAACAGGCAAGTGAGGGGCATTTCAAGTTTGAGAATTTAATATTTACAGAGAATGAAGCCCAGCTCAAGGCATTAAGATGGCAAAGAACCCTGGAGAGTGTATGGGAATCCCCCTGCCTATAGTACTGTTTGGAGTGAAAATAGCAATGTTTTTAAGAAACTTAAAAAAAGAAGAAAAAGATTTACAGGTCTACCATTCTGCATATGAGACAGCATTGTGAATAGTGCATTCATTATTCAAGGAGCTGAGCTTTTGTGCACTTTATTTTGACTCCAGCACTTTTGGATATTGCTGACTATGAGGAAAATAAAATTCAAAGCAGACCTCTATTTGGAGATAATATTGAAGCATTCTCTGCCACAAGTATTGAACATAAGGGATAGAAAGGTCTTTAATTATAGATGACTGGATTTGAAAACACCCAGTGGTGGTGACCTCAGACTCCAGTTCTGGTGAGAGAAGGTGAAGATGTGTGTGCTCAGCCAGCTGGTCTGTGCTTGGGTAGGGTGGAGGTCACCCAGTTAAACAATCTGAGTCCAGCATGGGCATGATGGGCATTGGCCTTCCATGGAGAGCCAGCCTGGATGGGGCCAGGGTCTCTGAGCACACAGATTATACCCATTCAGCAGAGACTCACTGCGTGCTTCCTTGGTGCCAGGTTTCTTCTGGGCATGGGAGATTCTGTGAAGAACAAGATGGACAAGGCACCTGGACTCACCAAGCTTATGATCTAGAATGAGAAGATAAAGTAATGAAATAAGATATTAATTTTGGATTGAAGAGTGATCTTAAAGAGTACCACCTCTGTGTCTTGCATGGGGGGTTGAGGACAGGCTTTGTGAAGTCTGAAAGCCCAGAAGAACTCAGTCATCTACAGTGAGGAAGAGCAGGAACCAGGGCCTGAGGTGGGAAAGAGCTTTGCATACACAAGAAACTTCCAGACGGTCAGTGTGGCTACAATGTGGTGAGCCCAGGGGAGTGCAGTACTAGACAAGGTTAGGAAGGAGGCAGAGGCCGTTCCAACAGGTAAGGGAAGGAGGCTTTTAGGTAAGGGAGTCACATAACTTGACTGCAGTGCTGGCAATGGAGTATGGAGAGTAGGAGCCAAAGGGGAAGCAGGAGCCTACTGCCTGATCCAGGAAACATCACATAAACCAAGAGATCCTTTTTGTTTTCCTATTGTGAGTATTAAACAGGTTAAACCTTATTTGCTTTCTGTTGGGAACTGCCCTGCCTGGTATCAGAAGCTGTAACCCCACCAAGGCTAAGGCTGAGGGAGTAGCCTTGGACTGTAAGCCAGCAAGAAGACAAAAGCTTATCTCCCTGGCAGGAGTGCTGCTTCTGCTGCTTCATTCATAACTGAACCCCAAAGCTTGGTCGGTTAGCCAATGATGGGTAAGATTCCTCAAGGGGGGAATGATCTAAGACAGGCACGATCACGTGGGAGGCCCCCAAGAAAGGACTTTGGGGGCTACAGCAAAAGGGGGTGATGGACCCTCACTCCTCGGCTTTGACAGAGCCTGAGTCCTCATCATCTGGGAGAAAATCTCCTTATCTCTTGGTTGCCTTAGTTCCCTAGCTCCACTTAAGCCTGAAACAACGACAGGGTGGTGCAGCTCTGTGCTGAAAAGGGCAGGTTCCCCAGGTGATCAGGCCTAAGAAAGAATATGTAAAATCCTGTGAAACCTGCTTTGTTTAGAATGCTCTCAGTCGAATGATAAGGGTCCAAGGAAGAAGTAAGTTTGTTCTTTAAAGTTTTACAGCTATTTGACCCTGACTCAAAATAGACCCTCAGAGTTCCTTGTTATCTATTGTTTGATCCTTACTTCCTAGCAATGAGTAATGAGATTTTACCTGAATTCTCATTCAAACGAAACCAATAAAAAGCCTCTCCAGAGGGGGAACTGCGTGCTCTCCCCACCAGGGAGGGTGGCTGAAGTGGCGCCCTCCGGAACAGAGGGTGGCCAAGGCACTCTCTACTAGAGGGGGTGGCCGTTCTGTCCCTACTTCTCCACAGAAACTGGTCTGTCTCTGTGCATGTTTTTTCTCGAGTTTCGACGAGCCATCCGCAGCGTTCCGTGATCACTGCTGGTCGGTGACCCACACATCAGCTTCCTGAAGTGAACTTGCAGTGGTTGGCTAGTTAATGAGCTTATTACAGACCTGTTGGCCAAGTTAGGTTTGAGTGAAGACACCAAAAGGGCAGGACAGGAGCTGCCTCCAGGCAGAAGCACAGCAGAGGCTAGGAAGGTTCACCAAGAAAAGGGCGATCTCTCTTTGGCTATGGTTGCCTTGCTCAGCTCCCTCCCAGGCTCCCTTTCTTCTGTGAGGCCAGGAGGAGTCATAACAAGAGACTAGGACAGGGAGGCAACCAAGCCACACCATGATGAACAGTTAATAATACACAAGTAGTTATGGTGCTGAGTAACCTTAAGGAAGCACTAAGTCTACATTGCCTTGTTGCAATAAGGTTTATTTAACCTTGAAAGGGGGTGGGAGGGTGGTGGGAGAGACTGTGTGTGTGTGTGTGTGTTTTCATTTAGGTTGATTAAAGCATGCTCATTTTATAATATAACGGCAGTTGCCATGCAGTAATGAGTTATGGATGAACCCAGCCTCAGAGCCAGGCCCTGTGTTTGGTGGGGCTGGATTGAGAGGTGAGGAGCCAAGGCAAATGATACAGGATATGGGGCTGGAAAAGTGGTCTGAGAGGCATGTGGGGAAACTGAGGCTGAAGGTTGTTGTCCTGGGTCACACAGATTGATGACTTGCTGGGTATGAGGAACACAAAGGCTCATGGAGTTGGAATCCCTGAGAGGATAGGCCTCTGAGTCCCTGAGTCCCCAGTGGTTGCTGCACAGCTTGGTTTGAGGATCACTGGTCTGATCTACCCTCCTCATGCATAAATGGGTGATGACTCGTCCAGGGTTGCCCAGTGGGTTGGTGGCACAGGCAGAACCAGAACCCAGGTTTCATCCTCCTGACTCTTTACATCACATGAGGCTGCAGTTTGAGAGGAAGGTGCAGGAAGGCCTGCCTAATCAGACCTGGGTCGAATAGACAGGGCTCAGTTTGACTTTCACAGCCTGCAAGAAAAATGGCCCCTCCTGCCTAAACCTCTGAGGGCAACAAGGCAATGCTGATAGTGCATTTTGTGTTTCAGAATTCACCAGGAGGAGGCTGTTCATTCCATCTCGTATAACCACAATGCTGACTGCCCGCCTGTCTAGACCCCTGTCAAAGCTCCCAGGGAAAACCCTGAGTTTCTCTAACAGAGAAAATGGAACAAGGTAAGAAACTGAATGGTGAAGTTGGCCTCGAGGGACACACTTTCTGGGCAAAGCAGAGCTCTTCACACAAGGATAACAGGTGGTCCTAAAGCCTGACTCTCAACAATGTCTCTCAGTCCCTGCCATGACTGGCAAAGGAAACTCAAAGGTGTCCTCAGAAGACAGAGACCCACACAGGGCACAGAAGAATATCTTTCATCAGATTTTTAAACTTTTTATTTTGAGATAACTACACTGATACAAAAGTTGCCAAAATAGTAAAAGGGTTTCCGTATCTTCCTTACCTAACTTCCCCAAATGTCTTACAAGTGTCTTACAAAACCATAGTGCAGTCATGAAAAGCAGGAAATTACCATGATATGCTATTAACACACTTACACACACTTGAGTCAAATGTCAAATGGTCCACTAATGGACCTTTACTGGTCCAGGATACAAACCAGGGTCCCACAGTGCACTTAGTTGTTTTGTCTCCTTCCTCTCTTCCTATTAAGGGACAGTTCCTGAGTCTTTGTTGTTTTTGAACTTGACCTTTGGAAGAAAGTCTCTCAATGTGTGTTTGTGTGATGTCCTCCTGTTTAGAGTTAGGTATTCATGTTTAGAAAGTGCCACCCATGTGAGGTGGTGTCATCTCAGTGCACTGCATCGTGAGGCCCAGGACTTTTCTGTCTGATGTGTGCCATTGCTTTGATCACCCGGGTAACTGCTCTTTTCAAACCTTACACATGAAGCCAGGTAACTAAAATGTCCTGAGACTTCACTGAGTTCAGTGAAGTGAGTTCTGCTTATGTTATTTAGAGAAAGATAAGTACAAATTAAACAATCAGCTTTTCTTTGAGAGCTCTGGGGTTGCCTTTTCCAAGGGGATTCGGTGCACTCTGCTACCTCATTTTCCTCTGTCACAGCCAGAGCAAGAAAAAATAATACCTTTTTCTTTTATGTTTAAGAGCAATGAAATTAAGTGTTAGGTTAAATTCAAAGTCCCAGCAGCTAGAAAATTGATGGGTATTTTCTATACCAATTAATATGTTGAGAAAAGCATGCATTTAGGCCTATAGGAACAGTCACTTAAAAGCATTTCCTCAGGACACAGCAGCTTGGTTGGAGATGGGGCTTCAACTACAGAGGACACCATGTAACAAGAGTTAAAATGGCCCTTCCAGTTAAAATGTCACCCTGTCACCTCTGAAGAGGGAACATAGCTGGCTCTACTGAAAAGCTTTTGAGAAGGGGAATTACTGAATTTTTTTTTCAATGAGTGATTCATAGAAATGGCAAGATCCTGGTGGGAAAATGGAGACAACTGTATTTGAACAATAAAAGAAAATGATTTAAAAAAAAGAAATGGCAAAATCCTGTCTCAAATGTGACTTTGAGAGATTTCTAGAGATTATTTTTTATAGAGGAGAAAATAGTCCCAAAAGAAATTAAATACTTTTACAAAGGTTTTATCCTCAAAGGGGAATGAGGTATTGGTCAAGCTTCTGGCTCATTTCAGGGTAAAGAAAGACTGTCATGGGGAGATTCTGAATCTTCGGGAAGGACTATAGAAATAACTGGTTAGGCTGAAGGGGCTGGGCACAGGGCGATCAGGGGGCAGAGCTGAGTCAGAGGGCATTAGCTGTCCTCAGGGCAAATGTGTCAGCAGAGGCCTAGGAGGGAGGCCCAGGTGGGTGAGGAGGATGGAAGGGGCCACTGTGCCTGCATCAGACAGAAGGACTGTAGGTGGGGAATAACTATGGCCTGGTCATTTTGCTTGAATCTCAGTTGGCAAGGGCCTCACAATCCTGTCCCCACCTGTGGGTGGGTCCTGTGATAGCATCCTTAACAACTGACCTTACAGCCCTGTATCTCCAGTTATGGGGCAAACAGTACAGTACCTCTCACAGCAGGCCTCCTGCCTTCGGGTAGTGGTCTCATAAAATCCTTCTTCTTATCAAACAGAAATCATTTCTCCTATAAATTCCAACCCTTGTTCCTGGGTCTGCCCTCTCTATTCATACTGAACAAGTTAATGTTTATCCCTAGGGATACCCTGCCACTTCAGCCCTATCCCCCACTGCTCTGACTTCTCATTCGCCTACATGTTTTTTCGTTGGTCATCTCCCATGGTTTCCCCAATCAGTATCCAGGTCTCCCACCTGAATGTGTCCTTTTGACCTGAGCACCTTTTTGAGATGTGACACCCTGAGCAGAGTACCACCCCCCTTCCCATGTTTGTCTGCCTCAGGGCAGTGGTCGCCCAGTACACACCATCTGTCCAGATGAAAGCCTCCTCAGGAGTGTCTAGGCGTGGTCCCAGCCCTGACACCTGAAACCTGCTCTTCTTACTGGCTCTGCATAGTGGGCAAACTTTAGATACAACTTAGCAATATAAAGAAACAAATTTTTGATGCATACAACAATCTCAAAGAATCTCCAGGAATAATGTTGAGTGAAAAAAGCAATCCCAAGAACATGTTTGCCGATACCTCTGATAAGGGATTAATATCCAAAATTAATGAAGAACATATAAAACTCAACACCAAAAAACAAACAATCCAATTAAAAAATAAGCAAAGGGCCTGAATAGACACATCTCCAAGGAGGACATACAGATGGCTTATAGGCATATGAAAAGATGCTCAGCGTCACTAATCATCATCAGAGAAATGTGGATTAAAACCACAATGAGATATCACTTCACACCTGTCAGAATGGCCATCATTGATAAATCGACAAACAGTAAGTGCCGGCTAGAATGTGGAGAAAAGGGAACACTTTTGCACTGTTGGTGGGAATGGGGGTTTTTGCAGCCACCGTGCAAAGCAGTATGGAGTTACTTCAAAAAATTAAAAATGGAGCTGCCTTATAACCCAGTGATCTCACTTCTGGGTATTTATCTGAAGAAACCCAAAACACTAATTCAGAAGAATATAAGCAACCCTTTGCTCATTGCAGCATTATTTACAGTAGCCAAGATTTGGTAGCAGCCCAAGTGCCCAGGAGTAGATGAGTGGATAAAAAATTTGTGGTACATATATACAATGGACTATTACTCAGCTGTAAAAATGGAAATCTTACCTTTTGCAACAGCATGGGTAGACCTGGAAAACATTATGCTAAGTGAAATAAGCCAGTCAGAGAAAGACAAATACCATATGGTTTCACTTATATGTGGAATCTAATGAACAAATAAATTTACAAATAAAATAGAGACAGACTCATAGATACAGAGGACAGACTGATGGCTATTGAGGTGAGTACCATGGGGCTGTGTGAAAAGGGGAAGGAAATAAGGGAAAACCAAACCTCACAACCTCATAAACTTTATAGACAGACAACAGTATGGTGATCCAGCGGGAAAGGGGGTGGAGGGAGGTAGAAGAGAGTAAAACCCCCCAGTAAATGGTGATGGAAGGAGACTTGACTTTGGGTGGTGAACACACAATACAATATACAGATGGTGTGTTATAGAATTGTACACCCAAAATCTATATAATTTTATTAATATCACTCCAATAAATTCCATTTAATAATTTTTAAAAAGCAAAAAGCAATCCCTAAATGTTGTATAGTATAAAATTCCATTTATATAACATTCTTAAAATGGCAAAATTATAGAGATAGACAACAGATTAGGGTTAAAGAGGATGTAGGGTGGGAGGGAGGATGGGTGTGGCTATAAAAGGGTAACTTGAGGAATCCTTCTGGTGACGGAAATGCTCTGTATTTTTACTGCCTCAAAGTCAGTATCCCGGTTGTGGTGTCATACATAGTTTTGCAAGATGTTAACATGAGGGGAAATTGGGTAAAAGGTACAGGGTATCTCTTGATACTATTTCTTAACTGCATGTGAGTCTATAATTATTTCAAAATAAAATGTTAAATTAAACAAACTATCAGAAAGCAACATAAAACCCAAGGGATAAATCATGAAATTTGCAAAAAGTTTTGTTAACAAAGCTGTATCACCTGAATGTTCTTCCCACACAGTGGCAAAAATGGTCACTGCAACGGATGTCCCACTTTCTACCAGCCTAGCAGCCCTGGAGGAAAGAGGACCTCTTCCTCAGTAGTACCAGCAGCTGTCCCCAGGGGCTCAGCATGGGGAGACAGTCAGTGCTGCTCACTGGTGGCTGAGGGTACTCTGAGTTGCTTCTGCCCCAGGAACAAGGTCTAGGTGTGACCTCAGCCTGTGCTCATGGCTTCCTTTTCTCTTGCAGGTACACACTGCAGTTTTATTCTGCGTCCTTCGTCCCTGTGGGTCATCGTACTTATGCCGATGCAGTAAACCCAGTGAGTGGCAGCCCAGCTACCTGGGAACCAGTCAAGTGGTCAGAGCCCCCAGGCCCTGGGCCACCTTCAGAGCAGGGCTTTAGAGCTTCCAGGACACTCAGAACCACTTTCTTGCATTCTTGACCCCCACCTCACTCCCCCTAAAAACCTCCCATCAAATGAGTTTTAGAAGTTAGGAGTTCAGACTCTAGAATCCCTCAGACCTGGTTTTAGTTTCAGTTCTATTACTTAGTATATTGGGCATTTAAAAACTATCTTTTTCCTCACTCATAACATGGTATAATAATCATAATTACTAAATGGAGTTATTATGAGAGTTCAGAATAATGCATGCACAGTGCTGTGCATGTGGTAAGTGATGATGAAGACGACAGTGATGATGGTGATGGTGATACAGGTGATTGCAGATGACAAAACTGAGGCCCAGGAAGGGGAAGTAACTTCCCAAGCAACATTATTAGCTGGTGGCAGAGTTTGGGTTAGAACCCAGTCTCCCGATTCTGAGTCCAAGCTTTTCCCACCATACTAGGATGCTTCTCCAGACAGAAACAGCCAGGCAGTGAGGGCCAGGCCTAGTCCACTCAGGAAGAACTAGTTGTTATTGCCCAGAGGAGGCTTGGCCACTTTGCCCTCAGGATCCTAGTTCCTAACATGGGACCTAATCTCAAATAGGTTGGCAGCAAAGCTGTGCTGGTCACCGGCTGTGACTCTGGATTTGGGTTCTCCTTGGCCAAGCATCTGCATTCAAAAGGCTTCCTTGTGTTTGCTGGCTGCTTGATGAAGGTAAGGGATGGGTCATCTTCGTCACCATTGTCCTTCACACATAGTCATTGTTTTGTAGGGGTGCTTTTATTGCAGTAAAATACACATAACATAAAATTTACCATCTTAACCATTTTTAAGTGTACTGCTCAGTGGTATTAAATATATTTACATTGTCTAAGTATCTCATATAAGTAGAATCATACAGTACTTGTCTTTTTGTGACTGGCTTATTTCACTTACCATAATGTCTTCAAGGTTTGTCCATGTTGTAGCAATTTACAGAATTTCTTTTTTCAAGGCTGAATAATATTGCATTGTATGTATATAATACATTTTATTTATCCATTCATCTATTGATGGATACTTGGGTTGCTTCCATGTTTTAGCTACTGTGAATAATGCTGCTATGAACATAGGTATACAAATATCTCCTCAAGACCCTGCTTTCATTTCTTTTAGGTATATACCCAGATGTAGAATTGTCGATCATATGGTAATTTTATTTTAATTTTTGAGTCAAACTGTCTTTCCCAGCAGCTGTATCATGTTATCTTCCCACCAATAGTGTGCAAAGGTTCTAATTTCTCCACATCCTCCCCAGTACTTGTTTTCTGTTTTTTGATAGTGGCCATCCTAATGGGTATGGTCCCAATACTCATGGTATCTTATAGATTTGATTTACATTTCCCTAATGATTAGTGATGTTGAGCATCTTTTCATGTGTTCATTGGTCATTCATATATCTTCTTTGGAGAAATGTCACTTCAAACCCTTTGCCAATTTTTGAATTGGGTTGGGTTTTTTTTTGTTGTTATTGTTGAGTTTTAGGGGTTCTCTATACACTCTGGATATTTGTCCCTTACAAGCTGTATGATTTGCAAACATTTTCTCCCATTTTGTGGGTTATTATTTTACTCTGTAGGTAGTATCTTTTGATATACAAAATTTAAAAATTTTTATTAAGTCCAATTTGCCTATTTTTCTTTTATTTCCTATGCTTTTGGTGTCATCCCCAAGAAATCATTGCCAAATCCAATGTCATGAAGCCTTTGTACCATTTTCTTCTAAGAGTTTTATTGTTTTGGTTCATATATTTAGTTCCTCAATCCATTTTGAGTTTCTGTATGTGGTGTTAGGTAAGGGTCCAGCCTCATTCTTTTGCATGTTGATATCCAGTTTTCCCAGCACATTTTCTGAAAAGACTGTCCTTTCCCCCACTGAATGGTCCTGAAACCCTTGTCAGTGGAATTTAGGGTGCATGAAGGGGAGTACTGGGGCATGAGGCTGCAAAAGTAATTAGAGGACAGTTTCCCCAATTTAGAGATCATTACCACAGTTTACTTTCAGAACATTTCTATTTCTCAAAAATTTCCCTCTTGAGCATTTGCACAACTACCACACCTTCTTCTTGTCCTAAATAGCTACTTTTTTCTATCTCTTTAGATTTGTCTTTTCTGGACTATTCATATGAATGAAATCGTATAATGTACGGGCTTTTGTGCCAAATGTCTTTCACTTAGCATAACATTTATGAGATTCATCCATGTTGCAGAATGTATAGGTAGTTTGTTCCTTTAGTTGCTGGATAATGTTCTGTTGTATGGATATATTACATTTTAAAAATTCATTCATTTTTAATATATGTTTAGATTTTGGGACATTGAGAATAATGCTGCTATGAACATTCACATACATTTCTCCATGTAGATATGTTTCTACTTGTTTCCTTTTAGTGGAATTTAGAAACCAACATCTGAGCATTAAGTGTGCTCATTGCTAATGGGGCATTTCTGCTCTTTGTCCCTCTCAGTGGACAGAAATAGAAGATGTATAAATAATCACACACACATACACATACATATATATACATATCTACATATTGTATCTATTTATCTCCTATCTCCATTTCCTATAAATATCACACACAATTTATGAGATTGTATTGACCTCTTATTTCACTTCAACACAACAGCATTCTTTCTTGCTTTCCTCATTCATATTTGTTTCTTTTTTCTCCTGCAGCTAGAACCCTCATTCCCAACTGTATCAATATATTTACTCACTTGGTTAATCCTATGACATTTACACAATAGCTTCAGAATTGCTACATTCATCCCATTACATTACATACAGCAAACCTACTAAGTAGTTGTCTCAGATTGGATCTTTCAAGAAGCAAATACTGAAATAGGATTAGATGTGTAAGAGGTTGATTTGGGAAATGCCTGTAGAGGCTAAAGCAGAATGAGGCATGTGAGGCAGGGAAACCCTTTAGATTGCAATGCAGGTCTGTGAAAAGAAATTGGTAAGAAGGAGGATTACGTAGGCAGAGCTTTCAACTGCGGTCTGAGAGTCTTAGCTGGGGTGACGGGGAGTCTTCAAGCCAAGGTTACCTGTTAAAGGAGACCCGCCTCAGGCAGGAATGGCCCAGTGTACCTGCCATGCACAGCCACTGGCTGAGAGAAGCTCTGGCAAGCATAGCTGTGGCTGTGGCATCCATGCTGTGGTGGTTCTGAAGGTGTGGCACCTGGACAGCTTCTGTCAGCTGCTCCCACAGCAGATTGTCCTGAAGGAGGCATATTATGGTCACCATGGTACAGCTTAAGATTTCCTTAGAGTGTTTTTATCTGTTGACTGAAGGTATACAAAGTGCTATATTTAAAATTTACTTGGACTAACTCTTTTTTGTCTTTATCACTATATTAGTTATTTGAAATACAGTTTGATTCATTTATTTGTATTTTGTTCTTGTTGATTTAGTTTAATTTTGGAATATGTAAAACATTAACAAGGCTCTAAAATCAAAATTATTAAAAAAGGTGTGCTTTGAGCAGTGTTCCTTGCCCACCGTCTTTGCCGCTCTGTCCTTTCATTCTCCTTCTCACACGGACGTTTGCATGCTGCACATAGCCTTTTACAATTAAAAATAAACTTAATATATCTTGGAAATGACTCCATATGAGTTCATAGAGATCTTTCTCATTTTTAAAAACAGCATTACAGTACTCTACTGTGTGGGTGGACTGTAGTTTACTCCACCAGTCTTCTACATATGAACATTGTTTTTCAGTATTTTGCAATTACAAATAAAGCTACAATAAATAATCTTGTACATATACATTTTTATATAATTGAGGGGCTAATGTTTAAGTTAAATTTTTAGGAATGAGATTACTCTTAGGTCAAAGGCTTAAAAAATATGTCCTCATTTTAAAAGATATTTCCAAATTTTCTATAAAAGGGGCTGTGTAATTTTATATTCCCATAAGTAATGTATGAGCATTCCTCTTTTCACAGTTTCAACAAATGAGTGTGCATCAAGCTTTTGATTTGTACTGATCTGATAGGTGAAAAAGACATCTTAGTGTAGTTTGTATTTCTCTTATTGTGAGTCTACACCCCTGTTCTTTTTTTAATATAGGTTATTGGTTATGCTATCACAGTTGTCCCATTTTCCTCCTTTTATTCCCCTCTGCCCTGCACACCCCCTTCCACCCACATTCCCCCCCTTTAGTTCATATCCATGGGTCATACATATAAGTTATTTGGCTTCTACACATTCTATACTATTCTTAACCCCCCCCCCACTGTCTATTTTCTACCTACCATTCATGCTACTTATTCTCTATATCTTTTCCCCTTCTCTCCCCTCCCCGTCCCCCGCTGATAACCTTCCATGTGATCTCCATTTCTGTGATTCTGTTCCTGTTCTAGTTGTTTGCTTAGTTAGTTAGTTAGTTAGTTAGTTTGTTTGTTTGTTTTAGGTTCAGTTGTTAATAGCTGTGAGTTTGTTGTCATTTTACTGTTAATATTTTTTATTTTCTCTTCTTAGGTAAGTCCCTTTAACATTTCACATAATAAGGTCTGGGTGATGATGAATTCCTTTAACTTGACCTTGTCTGGGAAGCACTTTATCTGCCCTTCCATTCTAAATGAAAGCTTTGCTGGATAGAGCAATCTTGGATGTAGGTCGTTGCCTTTCATGACTTGGAATACTTCTTTCTAGCCCCTTCTTGCCGGCAAGGTCTCTTTTGAGAAATCAGCTGACAGTCTTGTGGGCACTCCTTTGTAGGTAACTGTCTCCTTTTCTCTTGCTGCTTTTAGGAATCTCCCTTTATATTTAATCTTGGGTAATTTAATGATGATGTGCTTTTGTGTGTTCCTCTTTGGGTCCAACTTCTTTGGGACTCTCTGAGCTTCTTGGACTTCCTGAAAGTCTATTTCCTTTGCCAGATTGGGGAAGTTCTCCTTCACTATTTGTTCAAATAAGTTTTCAATTTCTTGCTCTTCCTCTCCTCCTTCTGGCACCCCTATTATTCAGATGTTAGAACATTTAAAGATGTCCTGGAAGTTCCTAAGCCTCTTCTCATTTTTTTTTTGAATTCTTGCTCCTTCATTCTGTTCTGGTTGGATGTTTATTTCTTCCTTCTGGTCTAAACTGTTGATTTGAGTCCTGGTTTCCTTCCTATCACTGTTGGTTCCCTGTAGACTTTTCTTTATTTCACATAATGCAACCTTCATTGCTGCCTGGGTCTTTTTTATGCTGTTGAAGTACACAGTGAGTTCCTGGATCATCCTGATAACCAGTGTTTTGAACTGTGCATCTGATAGGCTGGGTATCTCTTCATTCCTTAGTTGTATTTTTTCTGGAGCTTTGAACTATTTTTTCATTTGGGCCTTATTTTTTTTTTTTTTGGTCTCAGTGAGCCTGTTCCCTATACCCCTATTCTTTAAAGGCATGACCCAGAAGTTACATAAGTATCACCTGCTTTCTCACTCTGTTGGCCAGGACTTAGTCACATGGCCTTAACTGACTGCTAGGAAAGCTGGGAAATGTAGTGGGTATTCTGAGACAATGCGTACCCTGTTTAAAGTCAGAGGTTTTACTATGGTAGAAGGAAAGATGGGCATTTGGGACAACTTATTGCCTTTGCTCAGTGGTTAAGACATTTTTCTTTATTTTGAAGGTAATAGTAACCCAAGGAAGGAATTTTTTAATATTAGGTTTAATATCTTAA